AAGCCAAAAACTATATTGATATATTTTTGGATATATAGCGACTTTGATTGATGCGTTTTTTAACATTCCTTGACAGTGATAGGAGAAGCCACTCAAAATAATGTATTGATAGAAATTGCTTGCTTCATACTGCCCATTGTTGCTATATGATTGTGAGGATTACACAGAGCTAAATATATTTAGTACATAACGAGTTTGTTCAGTAAACAGCGAGTGATGATAAGCCAACAGAACAACAACTGACTTGCTAAATGTAGGCTAAAATAGCTAAACACATCTACAACAAACAGATGTTTTCCATGTGGTTTTTTGCCAAAAAGACAAAATATTATTAGACATTTGAAAACTACCACAAATCACTGTTTCGAGAATAGACCCTAAAGGGATGTCTTGTGCGGGAGAATACATTAGTTTATAAATTTATTGTCCTTTTTTTAATGCATACCATTACAACTTGGCAAGGCACTTTCCTCATCACATTCCGTTTTAAAAAAAACATTGCTTATGTAAATACCTTTCCATTCGGATTAATGGTTATGCACTCCAAATGCCTTCCAATTCTGTAGTGTTAGCTAAAAGTCCATCTAGAGGAATTCTTACTAGGAATAAATGACTTAACCTCTCTTTATATGGACCTGCTAGTGTTAGAGCAGAATACCAATAGGTAATAATAATACGATCATTTGATTATCAATTACTTTCATGCCTTCTGAAAGATTTTAAAATGTGTGTTTCGTGTCACAAGAATACATGAGAAATTGCCAGACATTTCTAAATAGAGTGATTACAATAACTGCTATTATTGCATTAAACTGTTTTTATAAATTTCTTATGCAAAAACCTGGGTGATTGCTCACAAAGGAATTAAAGAATGTTCGTCACCTCTTGGTTGAACGTATTAATTGTGAATGTTAAAGACCATAGCTTTCAATAGACAGAGATGCTTTATGGCCTCCACACTATTCTGCTTTTTGATTCTCTACTGGATGTATCATGTTTGCTATAATTGAGGAAATGTGAGGAATGTAATGTTTTGTCTTTGCTTTGTTGACGCCATATATTATTTATTATTGCAAGACCAAACAGAAATTGGATAAACCAACAAGCACATTTAGTGAGGTATACAGTGTTACATTTCTGCTGTACATGTGTCTTCATGTGGCTTTATCCAGTTTGTGTAGGTGCTCTGCTTAAAGGCAATTAGAGATGCTTTGGAGTGGTGGCTGCTGAATTGCTTTATATATTATATACTATATACTATATATTGCATTGTTTTTTTGTGGGCAATGTACGTCCTGTATGTGAACAAGTAGCAATATTGGCCCATAATTACATATAGACACCTTATATTTTGTTTTAACATGCCATTGTGGCGTATGTGTCTAATTTTACATTTGGTCTTTCTTCTTATCTGGCTTATTCTCTCCCAAAACAGATGCTCATTATGAAAAACAACTGTTTTATCAATGCCATTTCTCATCTACTAATCCATTTTTATGCATATTAAAATTTACGCCTATTGAAGGATCACTATAGGGTCAGGAACACAAACATGTATTCCTGACCCTATAGTGTTAAAACCATCATCTAGCCCCCCTGGTCCCCTCATGCCTCCATAAATGTAGCAAAATCTTACTGTATTCAAGCCTGAAGCTGTAGCTCTGCATGCTGTTTGCCTCAGAAAAACAAGCAGTCTGCTGACATCATTAGAAGTGGTAGCCTGATCCAATCACAATGCTTCCCCATAGGATTGGCTAAGACTGACAAGGAGGCAGATCGGAGCAGATCTAGCATGATTCAAATACAGCCCTGACCAATCAGCATCTCCTCATAGAGATTAATTGAATCAATGAATCTCTATGAGGAAAGTTCATTGTCTGCATGCAGAGGGAGGAGACACTGAATGTTTGGATGCATTTTAGGCAGCCATGACCCAGTAAGGATCTCTAACAGCTATCTGAGGAGTGGCCAGTGAAGTTATCACTAGGCTGTAATGTAAACACTGCATTTTTTTTCTGAAAAGGCAGTGTTTACAGCAAAAGTCCTGAAGGGAATGATTCTACTCACCAGAACAAATTCAATAAGCTGCAGTTGTTCTGGTGACTATAATGTCCCTTTAACTCAAAACTATATCTAATCAGATGTGTTTTAGTTGAGTAAGCCCTTGTCTCTTAAATCTGCGACTTAAAAAAACGTTATTGCATAATGTTCTTATCCAGTGTTCTTTGCTAAATGTAGCAATTAATCAATTACATTATAATAATGCTGAGAGCTCTATTATTATTTTTGGAAAGTATTTAGTTAGCCTGCTGATATTTTTTCACGAATTGCTTTGAATAGCTTAAACGCTCTTAGTTTTGTTCAAATGAACACAAGATTTTATCCTTTATGACATGGATTTCTCTGGCTCTGATTTCATGAAATAAATTAGCATTTCTGTTTATTTTCCAAGATATGAGTTCTGGCACAAGTAGATTTAGCCAAATCTGTCTCTAACTCCTTTGCTTTGTTATTCTGCCAGATGCATATCTAGAAACGGCATATTTAAAAGCATTAACATTCTCTGATAAATGGATTATTAATCAGTAGGTCTCAGATTAGAATGACTTTGATTGTCACCATGGATATATTTACTATATGTGAAGTTTCTAGATTAACATTGTAGATGCAGTCTGTTGCCTAGTGTTGTAGGGTTCCTTGATGATGCTGTTCTAGGGCAAGAGGATGTTGCCACTTATTTCTAGAGTCATGGGAAAAAAAATTCTGGATTTCTGTAGTTATATGTGGAGCTGGATATCTTTGTCATTGGTGGTTCTTGTCAATTAAGCACTCTTGTATGCACACATATCATAATCATATGCTATTTTAAGGTTTACCCAAGTGGGATAAAGTTATTGATCAGGCTATTAAACAATAATATAAACAGGTTAATATTCTATGGGACCCCAATATTTCTCATTGATACATTAAACATAGGCATCTTTACGGCAAAGACAGAAATAGGTCCTAATGGTTCATACTTAGGATTCGAAATTGCCCTTTTATATTCACAGAACTCCCATACATGGTATAAAAGGGAGAGTGAACATTATGGATGGTGGGAAGAAATGTAGTTCATATATACTTATGTGCTTGTACAAGTGGTTTATTCAATAAAAAGTCAGTGGTTAGAATGTTGAGAATCATACTAAAATGTTTTGTCTCCAATTGCTGAGTTGGAGATGTTTTTCAACATTCGACACTTTTGATGATTTTTTTTTATTTTATTTCCTTATCTCATTACATTTCCTTCCCAAAATAGTATTCTGAAACAAGTCCCACCTTGTGGTATCACACAGCTAGGATACATTAAGGCATGGACTCCACAAGTCCTCTGAATGTGTCCTGTGGTATCTGGCACCAAGGTTGTGAGGTTGGGTCTCTATGGATCAGATTTGTTATTCAGCACATTCCACAGATGCTCAATCAGATTGAGATCTGAGGAATTTGGAGGCCAAGACAACACCGTAAACTTTTTGTTCCTTAAACTATTATTGAAAATTGTTTGCTGTGTGGCAGGGTGCATTATCCTGCTGAAAGAGGCCACTGCCACCAGGGAACACAATTGCCATGAAGGGGTGTACATGGTTTGCAACAATCCCTAGTTAGGTGGTATGTGTCAAAGTAAAATCCACATGAATGCCAGGACCAAAAGGTTTTCCAGCAGAACATTGCCCAGAGAATAGCACTGCCTTCCCATGTGCATCCTGCTGGCATCTCCTCCCCAGGTAAACGATGCACATGCACCGAGCCATTCACCTGATCTAAAAGAAAACGTGATTCATCAGACTAGGGAACCTTCTTCCATTGCTCCATGGTCCAGTTTTGACGTCCCTATTAAAGTTGCTTTTGTCAGTTGATAATAGTCATCATAGGCACTCTGACTGGCCTGCGACTATGCAGTCCCATATGCAGCAAACTGTGATGCACTGTGTGTTCTGACACCTCTTTAACATGGCCAGCATTACATTTTTCAGCTATTCGAGCTACAGTAGCTCATCTGTGTGATCAGACCAGACTAGCTCGTCTTCATTCCTCATGTTCATCAATGAGCTTTGGGCACCCATGACCCTGACACTAGTTGACCAGTTGTCCTTCCTTGCCCCACTTTTGGTAAGTACTAACCACTGAAACCAGGAAATCTCCACAAACATTGACATTCTGGAGATGATCTGATCCAGTAGTCTAGCCATCTCTATTTAGCCCTTGTCAAAGCCACTCTGATTTTTTTGTGATTTTAATGTTGTGGCAGTGTATAATCACAACCGGCCAGCCGCACTTTAGCAACTTGCCACATACAGTTATAGCTGCAATTTTAATCGTGGTCTCTGGAAGGCAGGATAGAGAAAGGTTGAGTTCAGGAATGCATGACAGAAGTCCTAGTTTTAAGATTTTTTTCTTGGTGGTTGCAGTCACTCAAATGGTGGAAACATAAGCAGCTCTGCAGATATGGGCTTAGAATATTATAGTGTAGTGCCCACTTGTAAGTATAGATGGTGGTCTTTTCCCTTCATAAATATAGGAGAAAAGTGAAAAAGAAAAAACAAAATAATGTGTACCATAAAGCACAAAATACAATTAAAGTGATAAGAAATTTACTCACATTTGATGGAACAGATGTGGACTGCTCTATCCCTCGGGTTTGGGTGGTACAATCACCATCATAGGCGGTGAATGTTCTGCCCAGGTGTTAAAATTGGAGCTACAATTTTAGCTCCAGGAAATTGTGTGTGTTTCTTTTATTTCGTTCTATTTATTTGGACAGTGACATGCTCCACTATATATTTTTTTTTTTTGCTTTTATATATATTTTTTAAGGACACTTTAGGCGCTGCACCACTCCTTGTACTTTCATCTATTTTCTTAAAGTTTCAGAAAAAGAGACCACAATTCATGTGCTTTGCAAATTGTGTAATATACATATAATGAAATAATGTATGTGTTAATGCTATTATAGTAACTCTGTTATCTGCTGAATCTTTTCTAACCACTTTCTTTTTTTCTTATGCATGTTTAATTTGAAGATACCAAATTTCCTTCAGTAAAACATTTCAAGGCCGTTTTTTCCATATCTATATCAGTTAAAGGGTCAGTTTACACTTCAAAACCACTTTAACTTATTAAGTGGTTTTAATGCATAGATTATGTTCCTGTCATCTCACGGCCCAATTTTCTGCCATTTAGGAGTTAAATCACGTTTTTTCTGCAGTCCCAACCACACTTTCCCTACTAAAGAAGCTTTTGTTTTAAAAGGTCTTGTTAGAAACCAAGCCCAAATCTAGGATGTCCAGAAACATTGTGCTCTGATGGGACTTGAACCCCTGTATCTCAATTTGTTATTCCACTGTGGAACTTGCTCTAGTTGGAGAACTTTAACAATGTTAATTTGCAGTTACGTGCCTGGTTTTCTTTAAAGCGCCACTCCGGGCCGTTGACTGTGACGACTTCATCAGAATGATGAAGGTTTTGGGTGCTGGC